TCGAGCCTAGTGGCGTGTATAGACCCCTCCCCCCACACACGTGCTGACCTGGTGTTCTGGCTTCGGCCTGGAGGGCGGGAGCCACGGCTGGAGAGGGTGATGTCCACTTCACCCTGTGGGCGGTGGCAGGGTGGCTCTGGGTGAGGGGCGACGGCAGCTCCAGCTCCGGCCACCCACACTGCCACAGCCTGGCCTGTTGCTGCATGTGGCGTTCCCTGGTAGACCTCAGGCATCCTCACCGGAGCCTGATTTCGCCAGTTTGGCACACCCCCCCTTTTTAAACATTCATCTCCACCCGTTCTTACCCAGGGGCGGCCCGTGGGTTATCAGGACGTCCACGCCTTCGGGAATGAGGCTCCACTTCTCCAGCAGGGCTTGGCCTCTCGGCAGGTTGAACCCCCAGCCGTAAAACCAGGGCTGCCTGCGCGAGAAGAGCAGGTGGTGAGGGGACCGGGCGAGGCTCTGGGGTGACCATGGGGCGGGGGCTCCATGGGGCCAGGCGGCCGGCGGGACCAGCTCGCTGCCAGAGACCCACGCCCAGGAGCTGGCCACGGGGTCACCACAATTCTCTGTCCTGTCTCCTCTTGCTAACCTCTAGTTTCTATTTTTGTATAATGAGTATTATTTACATAACAAAAAACCTAAAAATACATATATCATATATTAATACATTTCACATATCAGCATTATATATTAATTATACATATATATATATCACCTTCTTCCAAAGACCTTCCTTGCTCCAAGCCCCTCTAAGGAAATCCACAGAGAACATTCTCCACCCCCAGCCCACCCCCAGGGACCTGCCCTCCCCCTTCCCCTCCCCCAGGTGTGGCGTGCGCAGCCCCAACTGAGACAGGAGAGTCCAGGTGGCTCCGCCTGAAGCGCCCAGCAGGGAGTCGGGGTAGGGCCGGGCTGGGCCGGGCAAGCAGGAGGGGACTTGGTGGCCCTGGCCTGTGACACAGCCCCAGCCTGTTACCCAGCCCAGACCCGGACCCTCAGCTGCGAGTCGTTCCCCCCGACTGGTTCCATGATGAACCTGTGACTAGATTCTCCCAGCTGGAGGGGAGCTCGGACTCTTGCTTTTTCTTCTCCAATCTCCTTCCATGTTGAGGACATCAGACTCTTTGAACGATGAGAAGAGGACACTGTCACCTCTGTGCATAGACCAGCGAGCTTCCAGCCTTGGGGGCTGTCAGTAACTGTGGGACTGTCCCAAGGGTGGACAGCTGGAGCACGCTGAGCCAGGCGTCCACCAAACCTGGAACTTCCCTGCCGGACAGGCCCATATGAAGCCACCTGAGCTGAGTGTTTCAGTCACCGGCAACCAGAGCAGACCAAGGCGTGAGGATCATCCCTTGGGTTTAAGTCACCACACGACCCCAAATGACTTTAGCGTTCCCGAGGTCACCACCCTCAGCGCCACCACTGCTGTGGTCCAAACGGGTGTGCCCGCCCAAAATGCATCGTCTGAAAACTAATCCCCAAGGTGACGGTATTAGGAGGTGGGGCCCTCGGGGGAGATTAGGTCTGAGGGGGGCGCCCTGGTGAGGGACCAGTGAGAGACCCCCTTCCGCCGGAAGGAGCTGCCACCTACAGACAGGGGAGAGGCCCTCACCAAACACCGACCTGCCACTGCCTTGATCATGGCATTCACAGACTCCAGACCTCGAGAAACAAATTTCTGTCGTTAATAAGCCACCCAGTCTGCGGTATTCTGTCACAGCAGCCCAAACAGACTAAGACAGCCACCGTCACCATCATCGCCAGCACCACGGTTGTGGGTGAGACTGTCCCCCAAGCAGATGCGTGGCTACCCCAGTGCCTGCGAGCATGCCCTTATTTAGAAACAAGTTCTTTGCAGATGAAATGAGCTGCGGTCTGCGGATGGTGGTGGGCCTCAAGCCGCGGCAGTGTCCTGAGAAGAGGCCACGTGAAAGCAGACACAGAGGGAAGAACACCAGGTGGCCACGGAGGCACGCTGCCACACCAAGGGCCGGCGAGGATGCCCAGCGCCACTTCGGCCGGGGGAGAGAGGCGCAGGCCGGTCTTCCGCAGGGCCTCCGAACAGGAACGAACCTCGGCGAGACCCCTGCAGACTTCGGCCTCCGGACTGTGAGAGAACGACTTCCGTCGTGTTAACCCCGCAGAGCGTGTGACAGTTACACGGCCCTACATGAACTCATTACACCGTCACACCATCGCCTCCCCCCACTGCCCGCCAGGACCTCTGCCCTGCAGCAGGCTCGGCCAGACGCGTCTGCCCCTCCCTGTCTCATGCAGGAGGGGACCGAGGGCCAGGGATTAGGAATAGAGCCGCCAGCATTCCCTGCACACCTGCGTTTGCCAGGCCCCAGGTAAGTCCACAACACAGACGGGTTGAGATGCTGCAAGAACACTGTGAATTAAAGACTGGGATGATTCCCATTTCACAGATGAGGAAGCTGAGGCTGAGGCTAAGATGGTGCAGGCTTTGGGCTGCCGTGTGCTGGCTCTCAAGTGCCCAAAGCTGCCACATAAATCCTGCCCCCCACTAACATGCACCATTGGGGGCGTGGCTAGCAGCCCTGGCTGTCAACCCGGTGGCTCCGCCCTGTTGGCAGCCACCCAGCGCACCAAGGAACACCATCCGAAAACCCTGGCTTATCCCACGCTGACAGGTCCCGGACTGGAGGACTGGGGTTCAGCAAGGGCAGGGAGGGGCCCGGCTCACACGGGGAGCCAGTGGAGAAGCCATGTCCAAACCCAGTGTGCTGCCCTCTGTCCCCACCCTTTGAGCAGCAGCACCGTCTCCTGGACACACCTGTGACGGAGGAGGATGGGTGACCACACTGGTGGCTTGGGGGTCAAAGGTCCTCATCGTTCTGTAGGGGAAACTAATGTTTAATGCGTGGTGGTCAGTGAGAGAGGATCAGACTAATGGATAAATTGATTCTTTTTTTTTTTCTTCCTAAAATCATGGAGAAATAATGAATAACTTGTTAACAAGATGTTGGGCAGGACTTTGCCGGTTGCCTTGGGATTGCAACCCAACTTCCAAGCTGAAACCAACCCCCTCATTCAAAACACAGCCCCAGTGACCCGGGGAGAACTCGCTTTTGATGAAAGCCGCAGAACACACCAGGCCACCGTCTCCCCAAGCCCCTGCCAGCCTGGGCTCTTGGCCTTGAGGAAGAGGCTGGCAGATTCTTGGCTGGCGGGTGGGGGGAGGCACGGGGGCTCCAGCCATGAGCAGCTCGTGAGAGCCCCTTGCACAGGCGGGGGCTGGGAAGGAGACAGGGGCCTGTGGGAGCAGAGTGTGGGGGCGCCGGCACGGAGGGGCTGCCTGCTCCCAGGCTTGAGATCTCCCAAGGGATCCCACCCACAGCAAGTGCCGCCAAGTCAGGAGACCAGGTGGCGGGGGCTGCAGAATGGCAGGGGCTGGCACAGGGTGGGGCGTCCACAAGGGCCTGCCCTGTGCATCTGCAGAAAGCCAAGGGTATTCTCTGCAGAAAAATGGCCACACACAGGATCGTACACCCACCTTCAAGGGAATCTTGGGGTCAGATCTGGGTTAGAATTGTCCACCTCTTACTACCTGTGTGCCCTTAAGCAAAGAACTTAACTTCTCTCTATGCCTTAATTTGGCCATCTGTAAAGTGGGGATAATAATACTATCTGCTGCAGCGCGGCTACTGAAAACATTAAATCAGCTGATGCATGTAAAGTGCAAAAAATAATGCCTGGTTCACAGTAAGTGCTCCAGGTTCTACAGCTGCCCTCACCATCCTCCTCACCTCCACCACCCCCACCATCAACACCCCCGTCACCACCACCACCATCACCATCATCACCTCTACCATCCCCACCATCAGCCCCACCATCAACACCTCCATCACCATCATCATGACCATCACCTCCACCACCATCATCATCACCACCATCACCTCCACCATCCCCACCATCAGCCCCACCATCAACACCTCCATCACCACCACCATCATCATCACCACCATCATCACCATCATCATCATATCACCATTACTATCACGGACCCCTCCTGAGACCCACCCATAGAGTCTGGATGAAAACCTGGGGCAGGGTCTGATGCAAACTGCATTTCCTTTTTAAAGAAGAGGAAATATCAGAGTACATCGGGCAGGAACTGGATGCTTCCGTTAAATACATTCCTATTTAACAGACACCCACGCCCGCGTGTGCAGACTCACAGCGTAAACCGCTTTCCCACCGCACTTCGCGGTCACGAGCGCCGCGGCCCTCGGGCTGCCCCCGCCCCCGCCCCCACCCCGCGAGCTGGGGACCTGCAGCGCTGGGCCCGCACGGGCAGAGCCCCCAGGGGGCGAAGGGCTGCAGGGAAGCCGTGGCAGCCTGGAAGCACCGTGGCCCTCCCGGGAGCCCCAGCCCCACCGCTGACAGCAAAGGAAGCCGCTCACGCCCGGCGCTGCCTTCCTCACAGCTCCATTTTCCCAAAGTCTCATCAAATATTTACAAGGCGGCGCGCGGCCACATCAGTGCGGAGAAAGCACGTGTTAGCTCTCGCGAGCCACAGCCGGGGCGGTTTTCGACAGAGACACTCAGGAACATGCCAGAGACCCCGCAGACACCCAGAAGCCGGCCCTGGTGGAGGGAGCATCTGCCCGTCCCACCTTCCCCCACCCAGCACCGAGGAGCCTTCCTCTAGGGGTGACAGTTTCCTGCCAGCTTCTTGGAAACACCTGATCTCAAATCTTGCGAAGCCGGAATCCCCCTCACCCGCCCTCCATAATGCCCAGAGAGGTCACTCCACTTCCCAGCGTCACACAGCAAGTCCCAGGCAGGCCTGGGTGAAGAACCGGGTCTCCATTAGGCAGCTGGTCTGGAACTATCCCTACTGTCGCTCCTGCCTCCCTCTGCAACTCACCCCGCTGTGGGGCCCTGAGAACACCCCCAGATGCACGGGAGAGCCGGCCTTGCCCGCAGCATCTGGGCGGGGCAGCTGGCACCAGCGCGTTAGGTCCCAGAGGGCGGGAGGTGGCCCTGCTCCCTGTAACGGGTGCAGAGGGCACAGGCGCTGGCGTCAGGCATCCTGGTGCTGCCCTGGGCTGGGCTCTCACCTCTGCCAGCCTCGGTTTCCTCCCGAGCAAACATGGGATAGTGACGCTTGTGTCCCCAGACCTCACCCACGAGGGCAGGGAGGGCTCTGCTCTCTCCTGTGCCCCACTGCCGGGGTGAGGGGACACGGAGGAGGTGCAGAGAGGGGAGCGGATTCCCCCACCGCTGCGGAAACGCCTCCTGCATGCCTGGGAGCCCGTCAATGGGAAGAGGGGATGCTCCTGCTTTCATTGGAATTTGGGGGAGCGGCAGCCAAACCGTGCACAGAAGCATCCAGAAGAGACGTTTCCCAGGACAGTCTGCTGGCTGGAGAGAGCCATCCTCAGGAGGGGGCCTCACTCAGAGGGGCAGGGGTGACCTCGCTGACCACAGTCCTTTGAGGGGCCCCAAGGCGGGGCGGCCCGCGGCCCTGCGCTCACGCGGAGCAGCCGGGTCTGCCGTGGGCGCGGGAGACAAAGCAGTGGCCCCCTCGGGTGAGGGTGTCCTGGACCCCCCAGCGCGCCATGGCTGGTGACGGGGTGAGCCCGCCACCCCAGAGAGCGCGGCATGTGGGACCGATCCCGTGACCCCAGTCCCACTCCCCGGGAGTGCTCGGGCTGCAAAGGACGGGCAGGGGGTGCCGCGAGGCCCCAGGCAGCCCCATGCAGCCCGCACCTCACCGCCACCACCGCCGTGGGCCGACACCGTGCGTGGGCCGACACCCTGTGTGTGGGCCGACACCCCGCGCGTGGGCGCCCCGAGGGCCCCAAGGGCCGCAGCACGGGTTTCCCGTGTGACCTGGCGCGGGGACCCAGCCTGGCCACCCCGCGGCCCGAGAGGAGGGCGGGCGGATCAGAATTCCGGCGGAGCGATGGGAGGCGGCTTTATGTCCTGAATTTCTGTCTTTCTGTTCTAAAGTAACCATTGGAATAATTTTCTTACAGAATGATAGTTGCCATGACAACCAGAGCAAATTTTCCTTTTCTGAAACAGATGTCTCATTTAGTTGAAAATTAGAATGTGAACAAACCCATGGGAAAAATTAATTCAAACTTTAACAGAGCGCTGAATACAATGTAATCTCTCAGAGGTTAACCCCTTAACAGCGTTTCTGTGTGCTTACGGTAACCTTCGCATCCAGCCCAATTAAGCCCGCTTAGCCAATATGAATGACCTCCTCGCGGCCGATCATTAACGGCCCCCCCCCACCGGGCGCGAATTCCGGGTTCTTTAACTGCACGCGGGGAGGAAAACGCTCCTCTGCAGAGAATGGCAGCGGCAGGGCCTGCGCCGCTCGGGCTTCCTGTCGCCCAGGTGCCGTGCACGGCCCCTGGGCAGGTAGGTGCACCCCAAGGTCACTTAATCAGCCTGGGGAACAGCCACCCCTGGCTGCATGCCATTCCTGGGGCCCTGGGGCTTGGGGACAGAGGAGGTGCTGGGGGTGCCTCCGGGCGGGGCTGAGCCGGCCGTGCACCCAGGCCAGGGCGACACGCCAGGAGCAGAGGACGGGGGCCCTCCCTCGATGGGACGCCCAGGGGTCGCCCAGGGGACACTGACACAGAGAGAGCTGGCCTTTCCAGGAATGGCCAACTCAACCCTCACCGCCCCCGCCCCCACACACAGAGGCAGCTGCCATTGCTGCCCCATCTTACAGATGCAGAAACTGAGGCAGGCAGAGGTTTCCAAGCGACATAGCCAGGGCCATGCCCTTTGCACGCACCCCAAAACGAGGAACCCGCACCAGCCACTACCGCAGCAGTTAATCCTCGGGACGAGCCGTCG